CAGACCCCGAGGAGCCAGGCCTGAGAGTCACCTCCCGCGGGCTCAGGCCTCCCGGGCGCCCTCTCCCGACGGCCTGGCTCCCAGCTCCGCACTGCGCTCCCGGTGCCGGGAGACTGGGGGCAGGCGAGGGGCACCGGGGGCTTCCGGGCCTCCGTTCCCGGCGAGGGCCGGGCTGTGCCCCGGGAGCGGGAGCAGAGAGAAACGATGGTGCGAGGCGTCGAGGCGAGGGTTGAGCCTGGTTGTCAGTGGAGAAGGAAGCGGGCCCGTCGGGAGGCTGGACGCCTGTTTGGGGGATTCAGGGTGGAACTGGGGGCGTCAAGAGTGGTTAGGCGGGGAAGAGTCTGGCCTCCCAGACGTTAGATTTTAGGCCTCGCTCCCAGAAGGAGCCGTCGAATGAAGTCTTTCTTCCCAGGGCTGTCTGTTGCTCGCCACTCCTTGAGTCTAAGCATTTTCCACTCCAAGAACCAGTCCAGAGAGTGGAGAGAGAGGAGTGAAGAGTCTCCGGGCCCCTAAGGCCGCCTCCCGAGGTGGCCACGCCTGCTCGTAGCCAGCGCGGACTAGCTGGGTCTGTGCTCGGGCGTCAGCCCCGGTTTCCCACAAGCAGCGGGAGGCAAAGAAATGGTCCCTTTGGATTACAATTTTTATTCAACAGCAGCTCTCCGGGGGGTCCTCAGCTGAATCTGCATTTAACAGCTCTTGGGCGAGGGCTGGCGGGCTGCACAGGGCGCCCTGTTGCATGTTAATCCAGATTTGTGCCTGACATCTGGGGAGAAGTAATGTGGCTCAAGGAGATGGAACCAGAAAGCCACGCACGCCAGGCAGGTTAAATGCCAAGTGCTGCTAAAACTCCCAGGGGAGGAGGATCGGCCTCCGGGGCTGTGCGTCCCAGGCTGGAGAGCGCCAGGCCTGGGGCCTCGGGGATCCGGGGCAGCCTTGGGCCAGTGAGCTTTGGTTCCCAAGTGGGCTAGGAAAACCCTGGTGGCGATTGCTTTATTTTAAAAGTGCGGGGTGTTGTTTCTAAAGCATCTTTTGAGTTAAAAATTCTTAAAACTGAACTTGGACTTGACTGAAAACGCCCCCTCCCTGCAAAGTGGGGTAGGGATGCATCCAAGGGAGATTTTAGCTTTCTCTTTTGGGGGAGGTGTTATGGTAAGGAATGGGGATGAGAGGGCAAGGGACAGCCTAATGTCCTTGATGAATTGGATTTGCTGCTTTAGAAAAAATAGATGAGGCCATTGGATATTTACCAATACTAGAAATGCAGGCAATTTGTTTTCATCCAATAAGAAAACTGGCCACAAACAGCAAGAGACAGGAAAACGGTCCCTTTGTCAGGTAGTTTGTTTCTAAATGCTTACACATGGACACATCTTATTTAAATTGTAAATACTTCACAATTAATGCCTTTGTCTTGGAAACTCTCAGTCCGCAGGCCTTGCATCGATGGGGGTCTTAGATTCATCTAACTTTACTCTTTGATTGTTGTGGGTCTTGTGTTGTACTTTTAATTCCTTTTTTTGAAATATGTAAAGGGAAATTATGGCAAGATTCTCTTTAATGATTAAATAATAAGGTGTTGACTGCTTGTCACTACATTGGCTAATTGGGATGTTCATTCTAGGCCGTTTATGGCTTAGTATCCTTTGAATTAAAACTTAGTTGCTTACCAGGTGTGTTTTTATTGTTGCTTTCTGATTGGCTTTTTAAAAATTTTAATTCCAGTATAGTTAACATACAGCGTTATATTAGTTTCAGGTGTACAATATAGTGATTCAACAGTTCCATATATTACTCAGTGCTCATCAAGATAAGTGTACTCTTAATCTGATTGGCTTTTAGCATGTATCTGTGTGTGAATTTCAAAGTAGGCGTGTACTGATTCCTAATAGGGGCACTTAAAAAACATTTTAGGAAAAGCAAGTGAAGAATATATGCAGATGGGTTGAGATCAATTACATTGTTAAATGTCTGTAAGTCTAAACGCTAATACTACAAAAGTTATTCCCTTTTCA